AAAGATCTTCTATAAGGCAAAGACCTGCTATCCAGCAAAGATTTGTTTCAGTTTTGAGCAATGGAAATTCTGTCAAGTTACATTCATACTAGAATCTATATCCAATCTTTTCACTTTACTATTATTTATTTTATTTCAACCTCTTCATCCGATTTATACCATTAGCGTCCACCCTACTAATCATACTCCCCCCCCCCCCCCCACTAACGAGCCTCCTCCCCTCACTAACCCTACTCCTCCCCCACTAACACTACTCCTACCACCACTAACACTACTTCTCCCCACACTAACGAGACTCCTCCTCCCCCCCCACTAACCCTACTCCTCCCACATTAACCATACTCCTCCCCCACTAACGAGGCTCCTCCCCCACTAACCCTACTCCTCCCACACTAACTAGGCTCCTCCTCCCCCCAACTAACGAGGCTCCTCCCCCCCCACTAACCCTACTCCTCCCCCACTAACGAGGCTTCTCCCCCACTAACCCTACTCCTCCCACACTAACGAGGCTCCTCCCCCCCCCAACTAACGAGGCTCCTCCTCCCCCCCACTAACGAGGCTCCTCCCCTCAGTTGTCCTACTCCTCCCCCCACTAACCCTACTCCTCCCCCCACTAACGAGGCTCCTCCCCCCACTAACGAGGCTCCTCCCCCCACTAACCCTACTCCTCCCACATTAACGAGGCTCCCCCCCACTAACGAGGCTCCTCCCCCCCCCACTAACGAGGCTCCTCCCCCCACTAACCCTACTCCTCCCACATTAACGAGCCCCCCCCCCACTAACGAGGCTCCTCCTCCCCCCCCCCCCACTAACGAGGCTCCTCTCCTCAGTAGTCCTACTCCTCCCCCCACTAACCCTACTCCTCCCCAGACTAACGAGGCTCCTCCCCCCACTAACGAGGCTCCTCCTCCCCCCCCCCCCCCACTAACGAGGCTCCTCTCCTCACTAACCTTACTCCTCCCTCCCCCTCTAACCCTACTCCCCGCCCCACCTTTTTCCCATGCTTACCATTGTACACAATAAACGCCCCAATGCTGTTATGTAATCCCCATAAGCTTGCCTATTTCCCGATTAGTTTGGTTGTGTTTTCACTACCCATCTCTGCCCCCCCCCCCACCCACCCCACTCCGCCCTGTCTCTGCCGCAATGTGTTAACCTGTTTATTTCTACCACTGCCGCTGTTGTCGCGTCACGCCTAACAAACATCTAGCTGTGTTTGGTGAGCGATGTCAAATTTGGCCCTGATCAACATTTCTGTCCCGTTCACACGGGGTATAACATTGGTAGTGGCGGGATGGCGAGGGGAGATGTTTCATTTTTTGTCTGATACAAAAGTGTTTTCTTTTCTTACAGATGTCACATTTCTGGGACAAATTTATTTTTGTGGGAATGATATGCTGCTTCCCGATATATATATATATATCGTGCGGCGTCAATTCGGCCAATGACGAAACGGCCCCGTCAAAACGACCCCGACAAAACGACCCCGTCAAAACGACCCCGTCAAATCGGCCCCGTCAAAAGGGCCAGCGACATATGGACCCCGTCATATAGGCTCCCGACAAATAGGCTCCCGTCATTTAGGCTACCGACAAATAGGCTCCCGTTATATAGGCTCCCGACAAAAGGGCTCCAGTCAATAAGGCTCCTGACAAATAGGCTCCCGTCATTTTGGCTCCCGACATATAGTCTCCCGTCATTTAGTTTTTTCCACAAAACGGCCCCCGTCATTACGACTCCCGACAAATAGGCTCCCGCCATTTAGTTTCTCCACAAAACGGCCCCCGTCATTACGACTCCCGACAAATAGGCTAGCGTCATTTTGGCTCCCGACAAAAAGGCTCCTGTCAATTTGGCTCCAGACAAAAGGACCACTGACACAGTGGCGTAGCTACCGTAAAGCTAGCGTAAGCAAGGCATGGGGGCCCAAGGCACATAGGGGCCCTTTTCCCTCATAAAAAATTAAAACTTTTACAATGAAATTTTAATATTTGTTACATATAAATAATTTTAAAAAAGAAAAAGGTTAAAAGTTCCAAAAAGCCCCCCCCCCCACCGTTTCGGCAGTGGGATTCAGTGTGTGTGGTGTGTGTGTGTGTGGGTCAAACAGAGCCCAATCGTTATAATAACACTACAGGCGATATCACTTTGTCGTGTAAGACATTGAGAGAATCAGCCTATAAATAAACTTTTTAGCAGTAGTAGGCAAACATAATAATATAGTATAAATACAAAATCAGGACATATAAAATACAAAATGTTGCCTTCAGAATATTTATATATTAAAAAATATCCATCGTAAGTAGAAGTTGATCTCTTCGTTTAACTCCTCTGTAGCCTAACGCAGAGGCGTAGCGAAGGCGAGGCGGGGGGTGCGGACCGCAACGGGGGACACCATTTAGGGGGGGGGGGGGGACACCAAAGGCAAAAAATTGTAAAATTTCTAGAATGAAATGCCATTTTCCAGATCCATTAGTTAAAGTTAAATAGTCTTCTAAGTACAAATCGAAAGTTATATCAAGAGGGGGGGGGGGGGCGTGTGACACCACGACGTAAACGTAAACTATAAAGAAAACAATGCTACATCCAACTGTATTATAAACAGACTGTAGATAAACATCGTTACTATTAAGTCAGCAGTGATTAAAGCTTAAACACGTACGTGTACCAGTATGTGGCATATATATAAATTTTAGGCCTATGTAGGCCGACACACACACACACACACACACACACACACACACACACATATATATATATATATATATATATATATATATATATATATATATATATATATATATATATATATATATATATATATATATATGCCTGTACTGTAGTAGACCTAGGCTAGATAGACAGTTAGGGACAAGTAGGATAGTCGTACTAAGAACTTTAGTTGTTTGTAGGTAGTTGTGTATAGTTCTGATTGTTGTACTTCGGTGGCGGGTTAACTTTAAGTGTTGTAATTTGTGGAAATAAATAGATTACTGAAGTTGGCGTTTGTGTATTTTTATTTTTATTTTTCTTCTTGTTTACGATTCCCTGACTAGTTCGAAAGGATTAGAGAAGGGAGTCGTAACAATATATATATATATATATATATATATATATATATATATATATATATATATATATATATATATATATATATATATATATATATATACTTTGTTTCCTGGGAGGGGGGTGACAATACGAAGTGCCGCACCGGGTGAGACCCGACCTAGCGACGCCACTGGCCTAACGGCTGACGAAGGGGCCCACTGATAATTTTTGCATAGGGGCCCAAAAATCCTAGCTACGCCACTGCACTGACAATACCGTTTCTGTAGAGACTAAGTCTCCCGGCAGAGCGGTCTCTTTGAATATGACATCTGCCAGTGGGACCCCTTCATCAATATTCTTTAGAGTTAGCTTATCCAACACTCTTATGTAATACAACGTATGCATCTCTTGTTCGGCAGGCCTTATTTTTATATTAGTTTATCTATTATAAAATATAGTATGTTTTAATTTAAGGGTCATCTATCTATGACATCCATAATTGAGTCGGTTATAGGCTGTTCCAACTCATTGTGTGGGGAGAAGGGTCCACGCTGTACCTTCCTAACTGCAATATGCTTGTACAGGGGCGTAGCGAGGGGGGGGGGGGAGGCGGGGGTGCGGACCGCACCGGGTGACACCATTTAGGGGGGTGACACCAAGGCAAAAAATAGCAAAATATATAGAGAAAAAGTTGAGGGGGTGGGGGTGCAAATCGAAAGTTTGGGGGGGGGGGTGCAAATCGAAAACTTAAAAGTGTGTCCCCGGGAAGGGTCGCAACGCCTCTGGGGGGGGGGGGGTGACACCATTAAGTGCCGCACCGGGTGACACCCGACCTCGCTACGCCACTGTGCTTGTAGGTTATCAAAACAAAATGCTGTTATCATGTTAACATCATGTATATCATACATTTACACTTCTGTGCTCGCTTTTAAGCAACAGATCTTTTCTGTTGTAAATTAAATATTATCAAAACTTTAGAATTGGTGGAATTAAGCTGTTAAGGGCTCGATTTGTTTGTGAATTAATGTTGGTTCATGAAAAAATAATTTCATTCGGGCATTAAAAAGAGGTTATGGTGGTATTGGAGGTAGGACACAATGGTTACTTTTATGCCAATAGTGGTCATATCATTCATTTTGTCAAAAGCCAATATGTCGGGAGCCCAATTGCCGGGAGCCAATATGTCGGGAGCCCATTTGTCGGTAGCCAAAATGTCGTGAGCCCATTTCCCGGGAGCCCATTTGTCTTGAGCCCTTATGTCGGGAGCCAATATGTCGGGAGCCGCTTTGTCGGGAGCCAATATGTCCTGAGCCTATTTGTCAGGGGTTAATATGTCGGGAGTCCATTTGTCGGGAGCCTAAATATCGGGAGCCCATTTGTCGGGAGCCTATATGTCGCAAGTTAATATGACGGGAGCCCATTTGACGGGAGCCAATAAGTCGGGGCCCTTTTGACGGGGCTATTTTGACGGGGTCGGCTTGTCGGGAGTCGATTTGACGGGGTCGTATTAACGGGGCCGTTTTGACGGGGCCGATTTGTCCCGGGCCGTTTTGACAGGGCACCATATATATATATGTATATATATATATATATATATATATATATATATATATATATATATATATATATATATATATATATATATATATATATATATATATATATCTGTGTGTCTGTGTGTGTGTGTGTGTCTGTGCGTAAGTGTATGGCAATACGGCACATAACAGTGGAGTTCAGCTGTAAGAGGTACCTTTACAACCATAGTGCAGATGTTGTAGTACAGTGCTATTACACATCTTGCTGTAACCATTTAACTGACCTGAGGTGACCGACCTGACATAAAGTTGTAAACGATGTCTTACCTGACTTAAAGGTGTAAATGGTGACTTACCTGACTTAAAGGTGTAAATGGTGATTGACCTGACAAAAGCGTGTCAACGATGTCTTACCTGACATAAAGTTGTAGATGATGGGGTTCGTACAGCTGTTGGTGTAGACGAGTACTTGGGTGAGCAGTGTGATGACTGGCGCCAGCTCATTGATTTCATTCACACTGACCAGATGTCTGGGTACAGAGGCAGACAATCAGAGTAGGGGCAGACAATTAGGACGGGAGTAGATAATCAAAACAGGGGCAGACAATCAGAACAGAAGTAGATAAAAATAAACCGGGAGTGATCTCCCCTAAACTTTCTCGAATATTCTTATATAAAATAACAGGGGATGGGAACTCGGGCTATAGACATGATTTTTAATCCATTTTAAATACTTAAAGTTTTAAAAATAGAATAAAATCTCGTAGACAAATTAATTGCACACCAAGTGAACGCCAAATAAAAAAGCGCATAATAGTGCGCAATATTATTAGTACTTCTAAAATTTACATTAGTTTTTTGAGAAATCGAAAGTAGCGTAAATTACTACTTCCAGTAAACGGAAATTACTCAAAATTTAACAGAAGGTAGAGATTTAGATCTTTTACTTACATGTGAAATTTCATGTATCTATCTGAAACAGCACTAAAGTTATAGGCTTTTGAAAAATTCTAAGTAGGAAAAGTACCACTTCCGGTTATCGAAAATCGCTCAAAAGTTGATACTGATCTACGATTTTGATAAAATACTTATATATGAAATTTCATCAACCTAGCTGTAACGGTACTCAAGTTATCGTGTTTACACACGGACACACAGACACACAGACACACACACACACACACAGACATACGGACAAGATTGCAAAATTATGTTTTTCCGTATCAGTGAGGTGTAAAACGTCGAGATTTGTAAAAATCTCGATTTTTTTTTTTTGCACGATTACAATACTTTCTCTATACTACGTAGGCATATATACGAGAAAGTAAAAAGACTTTGAAAATTGTTTACAGTAAACTCTATAAATTGAACAAGCGAACCAACACATGTAGTGTGATAAAAAAAATGATCTATCAGTCTGAAGTTCTAGTACAGATACATCGACTGTAAAAAAAATTCAGCCACTGGTATTAAAAATTCTAAGATTTAATAACTCTGATTGCAATTATCATCAATTATTAAGAAAGCACACGTATTTTAAAATAAGTAAAATTGATTTTTTTAAAAAGAATACTATAACACTAGTAGCGTTGTAGTGTTGGTCTAAGCAAAACTGAATACTTACAATTGTTACAAACTTTGACTCAATTCAATAAACTAGCAAATAAATTGGTACTAATTTACATAAACTATCAAGAGAACTATGACTCCGTTACATAGTCTATCAACTCCAGCATGTCGTAAACTGTTAACAAAACAAGTACAACTATGTCGTAAACTGTAAACAAAACAAGGACAACTATGTCGTAAACTGTTAACAAAACAAGTCCAACTATCTCGTAAACTGTAAACAAAACAATGACAACTATGTCGTAACCTGTTAACAAAACAAGTACAACTATGTCGTAAACTGTAAACAATGACAACTATGTCGTAAAATATAACACACAATAACACCAATACGCAAACCATGAACAGAACTATGAGAGTGAAATATGAACTATTAACACAACAACAAGAACAGACCATGAACTATCAACACAACAACAAGAACAGACTATGAACTATTAACACAACAACGAGAACCCACCATGAACTATCAACACAACAACAAGAACAGACCATGAACTAACAACACAACAACGAGAACAGACCATGAACTAACAACACAACAACGAGAACAGACCATGAACTATCAACACAACAACGAGAACAGACCATGAACTAGCAACACAACAACAAGAACAGACCATGAACTAGCAACACAACAACAAGTACGGACCATGAACTAGCAACACAACAACAAGAACAGACCATGAACTAACAACACAACAACAAGAACAGACCATTAACTAGCAACACAACAACAAGAACAGACCATGAACTAACAACACAACAACAAGAACAGACCATGAACTATCAACACAACAACAAGAACAGACCATGAACTATCAACACAACAACAAGAACAGACCATGATCTAGCAACACAACAACAAGAACAGACCATGAACTAGCAACACAACAACAAGAACAGACCATGAACTAACAACACAACAACAAGAACAGACCATGAACTATCAACACAACAACGAGAACAGACCATGAACTATCAACACAACAACGAGAACAGACCATGAACTAGCAACACAACAACAAGAACAGACCATGAACTAGCAACACAACAACAAGAACAGACCATGAACTATCAACACAACAACGAGAACAGACCATGAACTAACAACACAACAACAAGAACAGACCATGAACTATCAACACAACAACAAGAACAGACCATGAACTATCAACACAACAACAAGAACAGACCATGATCTAGCAACACAACAACAAGAACAGACCATGAACTAGCAACACAACAACAAGAACAGACCATGAACTAGCAACACAACAACAAGAACAGACCATGAACTAACAACACAACAACAAGAACAGACCATTAACTAGCAACACAACAACAAGAACAGACCATGAACTAACAACACAACAACAAGAACAGACCATGAACTATCAACACAACAACAAGAACAGACCATGAACTATCAACACAACAACAAGAACAGACCATGATCTAGCAACACAACAACAAGAACAGACCATGAACTAGCAACACAACAACAAGAACAGACCATGAACTAACAACACAACAACAAGAACAGACCATGAACTATCAACACAACAACGAGAACAGACCATGAACTATCAACACAACAACGAGAACAGACCATGAACTATCAACACAACAACGAGAACAGACCATGAACTATCAACACAACAACGAGAACAGACCATGAACTAGCAACACAACAACAAGAACAGACCATGAACTAGCAACACAACAACAAGAACAGACCATGAACTATCAACACAACAACGAGAACAGACCATGAACTAACAACACAACAACAAGAACAGACCATGAACTATCAACACAACAACAAGAACAGACCATGAACTATCAACACAACAACAAGAACAGACCATGATCTAGCAACACAACAACAAGAACAGACCATGAACTAGCAACACAACAACAAGAACAGACCATGAACTAACAACACAACAACAAGAACAGACCATGAACTATCAACACAACAACGAGAACAGACCATGAACTATCAACACAACAACGAGAACAGACCATGAACTAACAACACAACAACAAGAACAGACTATGAACTATCAACACAACAACGAGAACAGACCATGAACTATCAACACAACAACGAGAACAGACCATGAACTAGCAACACAACAACAAGAACAGACCATGAACTAGCAACACAACAACAAGAACAGACCATGAACTATCAACACAACTACGAGAACAGACCATGAACTATCAACACAACAACGAGAACCCTCCATGAACTAGCAACCAACCAACGACACAAGCTGACACTGACCTTAGAATGTTCCAGATGTGGTTGGGCAGGAAGCAGAAGAAGAAGACGATGACCACCACGACCAACATCTTGGCCGTCCGGCGACGGGCCATAAGCTGTGAGACGATGGCCTGCTGGTCTCCTTCTGAGGGCCACAAGAAACAGTCGTTAAACACAAATGGCCAACATGAGAAAAACGAGTTTCCTATAGAGGCCACTAATCTAACCCATGCACATAGATGATATAAAGTACAGCATTATTATACTTGTCAAATGGAAACTCTCTCTATGGTATAGATCACTTAACCTTGGACAAGATCTTCATATAAAAGAAGTATTCGTTATTGTCCAATATATAACTGTTTGATAGTCGCTAAACTATCGAAACCCTTACTTTCACTAAAGCAAATATACAATAAATATAGAAAGATTCACTTTAGCAGCAGAAATGGATGAATAAAGATATTGTGTAATTACCGATGGTTCTTAAGTGGTGCATATTCCTAAATGGTGCAGATGAAAAAAAAGGTGAGTGTACCTAAATTATGTTACTAAATAGAAGAGTGCAACTAAACTATGCATGAAAATAAGCAATCATATCCTTAAATAATACGGGAGAAAAAAAATGAGGATGAAAACTTAAGTCAAATTCATTTCAACAGCTTTGTTTGATTCTTTAACCGTGTGAATGACGTTACAACTACAAGTGCACAACGTCACTACAATCGTCATCCACCCCCCCCCCATTACTTCCTAGAGCAACAGCCATAAGCTAGGTCTGGACGACCGCCGTGTTTGTGTTTTGGTAACTAATGGCAACAGGGGCGCCCCGTGTTCTCTGACGTGATTCGTTTCTGTGAGGAAATAAACAAAATCTATTTTTGGCTTTAGTTTGCTGAGAATGTTGATTCCCTTTATATTTTGCTCAAATTTAAAAAAAAAAAGTTACAGAAAGTTACCCAAAGTTACCCTTTCGGACCAGGTGACTCATGGGGCAGATGAAGTAGAGTTTACCTGTTTCTGGACCTCTGCATATGAAGGAAAAGTGTGGTTAGCAGTATATCCGGCTGCCGTAACTTTTCCTTATTGGACTCAGTAAAGTTCTTGGGATTTTAGCACTGAATCCGAACTCAAGTCATTTGCGTTATCACTCATGCGCGCTACCATTCGACCTCAACACCCCATTAAAAATGCATATACAATTCCTCGAAATGAAAAAGCATGTATTTTCCAGAAGAGATTTACTATTACTTTTCTTTGCCGCGTAAAATCAAATCTTTGAACCGTGGGTGGAGCCAAGGGGAGGTAACTACGAGAGAAATTTTCCTGCAGGGTTGCGGTTCGTACTTTAAATTTACTCCAGAGAACAGGAAGAGAAAAAAAAACATAGCTTATTTGAGATGGCTTTTTTTTAATGGGGAGAGAAAAAAATGTATTTGCGTATGTGTTCATCTGAAATGTAAACACATTTCAGAGCTAAATGTCAACAAAAAAAGGGTTAAATATTAAAAATAAAGTGAGAAATAAAACACAAAAATCTCTTTAAATATATAAATATTTGTTTGATAGGAAAAAAACAACAAACTTAAGCTTGAAGTGTGTGTGGGTGTGAAAAGGGGGGGGGGGGGGGCGATTTTAAAATCCCATCGGAGATCAGGATTTAAAAAATAATAATAATACAAATCTTACAAGAAATCTATTAAACAATAAGCTATTACATGAAAAATATTTTAAAGGGTTTAAAAAAATCAAATGAATTCTATATTTTTTTCCTTGCACGTGCTTTAGCTCAAATCAAGCAGACGTAAAATGCTTAGCCGCAGGCCGTATAATCGACGTATCGATTCCGCATTTCAATGACGCGAAGAGTTTTAAAAAAAAAACTGATATTCTTGTAAAATAGTTTTTTTGGGAACAATTATATCTAATAGCACTTTTGAAAGTGCTAAAATATCCAGGTTTATTTAATTTTTAATTTTATTCGTGGTTTTTAACAAAATTATGAAAGAAATGTAGGCGAAATGAATTTAGACAAAATGAATGTAGAGGAGAGGAATTATGGCAAAAAAAAAAAGTTTAGTAGAAAAAATGTAGGTGAAAGAAATGTAGGTGAACAAAATTTTGGTGAAATGAATTTCTGCGAAAGGAATGTAGGGGAAAAGAATTAAGGTGAAAAGAATTAAGGTGAAGGGAATGTAGGTGAAAGAAAATTTAGATGAAAGAAAATTTAGATGGTGGGAAATTTATTTAGGACATAAAATGTTTGTCTACCGAATGTCATGTTCATCAAATTTCATATCCATCAAATCTCAAGAACATCATTAATGTCATTTCTATCAATGACTGTCCTAAAATCCTAAAAGTGTTACAATCCTAAAAGTTTTACAATCGTAAAAATATTACAGTAGTCCTTAAAGTGTTACAATCGTAAAAATATTACAGTCCTTAAAGTGTTACAATCGTAAAAATATTACAGTCCTTAAAGTGTTACAATCGTAAAAATATTACAGTCCTTAAAGTGTTACAATCGTAAAAATATTACAGTAGTCCTTAAAGTGTTACAATCGTAAAAATATTACAATCCTAAAAGAATTACGATAGAAAGTTTGTTAGCATCTCAAATTTGTTACAATCCTTAAAGTGCTAAAGTCCTCAAAAGTATAACGTTCGTTTGAATTTACAAAAAAAAAAAATCTTTAAAAAAAGTCTTAGAGCACTAACACACGACATAAAAATTAGTTGGGGGGGGGGTGTGAACTAAAAATATTTAATTTTTTAAACCTAACGAAAACTTTTTTGATTGATGACAGGAAATAAAAGTGTACGGTACAGGAATTGATATCAATCCGCTCATCCAATCGATCTTGATGAAAACATTTTTTTTTCAATCTCTGAGCGTTTTTTTTTTTTGTTTTGTTTTTGCAGTCAAATAAAATTGACATTTTTTGTTCCATGAATGTACAAACACGGTAGGTTGTGTATCAACAGGCCAGGTTTTATGGCCCCGAATGAGGTAGGTTTTATGGCCCCGAATGAGGTAGGTTTTATGTCTTAAAGAGGTGGGTTTTAGGCCCAAAGAACGTAGGTGATATGCCTTATAGAGGTGGGTTTTAGGTCACAACTAGGTAGGTTTTATGGCCCCCAAGAGGGTAGGTTTTATGGCCCCCAAGAAGGTAGGTTCTATGGCCCCCAAGAAGGTAGGTTTTATGGCCCCCAAGAAGGTAGGTTTTATGGCCCCCAAGAAGGTAGGTTTTATGGCCCCCAAGGAGGTAGGTTTTATGGCCCCAAAGAAGGTAGGTTTAAGCACCAAGAAGGTAGGTTTTATGGCCCCCAAGAAGGTAGGTTTTATAGCCCCCAAGAGGGTAGGTTTTATGGCCCCCAAGAAGGTAGGTTTTATGCCCCCAAGAAGGTAGGTTTTATGGCCCCCAAGGAGGTAGGTTTTATGGCCCCAAAGAAGGTAGGTTTAAGCACCAAGAAGGTAGGTTTTATGGCCCCCAAGAAGGTAGGTTTTATGGCCCCCAAGTAGGTAGGTTTTATGGCCCCCAAGAAGGTAGGTTTTATGCCCCCCCAAGAAGGTAGGTTTTATGGCCCCAAAGAAGGTAGGTTTAAGCACCAAGAAGGTAGGTTATAAAACACAACACGGTAGATTATAAGTTCCAAAAAACAAGATTGGTTCTAAGCCGAAATATTTTGCATGTGTACGACTGTATACCATGCGATTCACATAGACTGAGTTCTTTTTCATTAACCGACAAGGCAACGGTTTTTAAAAATTACGACCAACACAGTGCCGAAAGCATTTTATTCCTCCATCTGCTTGCTCGGTCTGCACTTCACCCCCCCCTCCTATCATACAATGACCCCCACCTATCATTCGATGACCCCTCTTTTAATCCATTTCATCCCCTAAGCCTACCTCAGCATTATCTCACCTCTTATCTATTCATCACTCTACCTCTCATCAACTCATCACTCATCTCATAATCACCCTCTAATCCACCTCACCCTCTTCTCCCAATCAATACTCCCATTATGAACGCACTTCAATGCCATACTTCCTCGCCTTACTTTGCTCTTTATATTCCTCTTCACATCTCGTTACCCCCCCCCCCCCCCCCCACCACCCACCTCCTAATTTCCTATCACCCACAGGCCTGATAGCCTCCAGGGGCAGACAATTTTAATTTGAAGTATCATTTTTCTGTTTGTAGCGACCCGCAGTGCTGGGCACTTTTCTACCGAAGAAAGGGATACAACCCGTTAATTATTTGAATTCGATTGTCGCCCCTGTTCTCGCCCCAATGGAGATATAGTCTTGCAGCGGTTGAAATGAAATAAAATGTATGAAATTAGATACGGTGGTGGTAGTGGTAGGGGTGGGGGGGGGGGGGGGGGGTATGGTGAATGTATTTTAAAAGTGTGAGCGGTGTAGGTGTGGGTTGGACTGGTGGGATGTGCAGAGGTTGGTAGTGGAATGTGTAGGGGTTGGTGGTGGATGTGTAGGGGTTGGTGGTGGTGTGTGTTGGGTTGGTGGTGAAGTGTGGAGGGGTTTACGGTAAAATGAGTAGGGGTTGGTGGTGGAATGTGGAAGAGTTGATGATGAAACAGCTAGGATTGTGATGGTCAAATATTTATATAATGTTTAATGGTATTTATGTATAGGTTGATGGTGGTGAAATGACCATCTCCCACACAATCTATCAAGATCCCCCTTGATCCCCCAAACAATATATCAAGCCCACACCTGATCCCCCACACAATCTATCAAGCCCACACCTGATCCCCCCAACAATCTATCAAGATCCCACTTGATCCCTTACACAATCTATCAAGATTCCACTTGATCCCCCACACAATCTATCAAGATCCCACTTGATCCCCCACACAATCTATCAAATACCCCACCCACTTGACCCCAACACAATCTATCAAGCCCCCCCCCCCACTTGATCACTCACACAATATATCGTCCCCCACTTAATCCCCCACACAATCTAACAAGCCCCCCACTTGACTCCCACTTAATCTATCAACCCCCCCACTTAATCTCCCACACAATCTATCAAGCCCCCCACTTGATCCCCCCACACAATCTATCAAATCCCCCACACAATTTATCAAATCCCCACACAATCTATCAAATCC